ATATATATATGAATTTATTCGGTCCTTTTGATGTTCTTTATAAAATTCCTGGATTTTTTGGAGACTGGACTTCTTAATTCATTATTTGAAAATCATCATCTAGTATGTGAGAGACCAGAGGGAAACGATAAAGTTATTAATATAGTATCAGTTACATTTTATGAAAAATCTATATAGACAGCAATAAGATACTGGAATTTAAACACCAAGAAGTGTGTTTTTCTAGATTGAACTGTTTACTTATTGCCAACGAGTAGAAGTTGTTTACATTTCCTCACAGAGCCAGAATGTGTTTTCCTCACAGCCTGATGACGGGTGAGTTCAGCACTGTGAGGGTGTAAGTGTAAGGTCAGAGTCAGCCTGCAGACCACTGCAGCCTGCATGGAGGCAGAGCAGGAAACGATGATTCACTGACCTTACAGTCCTAAGAAAGCTTCTGCCTCTGTCCAAGGTGCTGGAAAACTGCATAATTCTTCTGTTCCTCCTACTCAGAACCAACTCAGACTCAGCTCTACATACGAGTGCTATGAACCCCAACCCCCAGGACCCGTTTGGCATGACTCAGCAGATGGGCCGAGGACCCCCGCAGCGCAATGGTGAGAGTAACATATGTTCACTCATTCAAAGCACAAGACTCCTCAAAAAAATATTTTTATGTACAGTTTGTATGTCCTTTTAGTTTGCTACAGACACTGTATTCATGAACATATACTGTATCTGTKTCAATTTATGAATAGATTTCTGTATTTAAATCTATTTATGCCATCCTGCTTATGAAGGTTTGCACATCTTCATCACTTTTATTACCAACCTAATCATTTTTTGTTTTGCTGCTTCCCCTAATTTCTGCTGGACATTTTGATTATTTTTCTCGAGGCAGAGTAACAGCCCAGGCTATTTTATAGAAAGTCTTTTTTCTATTGTTTTAAAAGGTTTCTGTGAATAACATTTTTGTTTAGACCACCTGTTACATAACTAGAAATCCAGCTTGTCAGTTAATGATGGTCTTGTAGAAGATGTAAACAAGTCACTTAGACCTTTTTCAAACACTTAGTTTTGTCTTTCTAGTAAACATTTTGACTCATCGTGGTTTTTGGATGTTACATGTAAGAACTTTTCAAGGTGAGGATTTGACTCTATCTAATGAAAATATTGGGGTGTCCTGATCCGATATTGATATCGGATATCGGTCCGATATCAGCCAAAAAATGAGTATCGGATTTTATCGGCCTGCATAAAAAATATCCGATATAAGCGCTCCGATATTAGCAGTCCGTTCCAGCAGTTCRCTGACTCCGCTCCADTGTTTCTATCCAGCAGCGCTTGGATCCAGCATGTAGCGCTCACGTGATCACAACAACATGCTGCGCTAACAAGTTAGCAAGAATGTCGGCAGATCTTTCTATTTTCATCAGAAACAGAGTTGCAGCTAAGTGCAAAGTTGTCATGCAAAGTTTTCCGAGGGGGAACAGAACCGTGAACGTTTTAAACCGGAACGACAACTACTCTCCACCCTGGCAGCAGCTTTGCGGTTCGGCTCGGTTCGTTCAGCCTCGGTCCAGCGACCGCACACTGTTTCGGAACTCTCTGGTCCGGTCGGTGATTCTAAGCTGGCAGAAGCGAGGACAGCACGCTTACAGTTTTGACATCCCGTGGATTAGCTCTGGGTCGATGGACAGAAGAAAGGAAGAGTGCAGCTTTTGTTTTGGAATACGAGCGACATGACGAGAGCAGTGATAAAAACTGCTCCCTGCAGGAGCGAGAGGCTAATCTCCACATGATGCTCAGAAAATGCAGCAGTAAGAAAGGTAGCTATCAATTTAAATAACTGACTAATTCTTACTATTTATTTTTTGCTCTTTTTATTAGAGTGATGTTTAATCTGTTTACRCACTTGTTTGAGTGAAGATTAAGTGCAATGATCACGTTGTTTTGGTTACAGTCAGTAAAATTGGAGCTGTGGACTCTTAACTTTGAACAGACAATAATGTGGGGTTTTGTTTTGTCCCCACCTTCAGTTTTTYCCACCATAAAGCGGCACCAGGCTGACAGGTAGTAAAACAATCACCGAAGTGATTTTGAATTGTTATTTTATACTTTAAAAGAACATTTTGTTTTTATTATGTTTTATTTTTCAGGGTATTATAATTTATTTTATTAAATTGTAGAATGTTCTTCAGTTTAAAATGTATGTGATCCATTGGTTAAAAATAAATGGGTCAGTTTTTCTCATACCTACTCTTTTTCACTGTTTGACTTGATCAAGAATTTTCTAAGATTTTACATTACAAAATAGGTAAAAGTGTGTGACTTGTACTGTTTTGGTAACGGGTCAATATCGGTATCGGTCAATTCTCAAAGTTGTAATATCTCTATCGTATCGGAAGTGGAAAAATGATATCGGGATACCCCTAGAAAATATTTAAGATTAATCCAGTCAAAGACTTCCTGACCATATTCATTTGCAGGACCAACAAAGACTTCTAAGTTTAAAAATAAGATGTTTCCACAGTCAGTCTGAATTTTTTTTATTTAGATTTTGGGTTTGTGCTGTTTGTGGCTCTGCTGTGTCTGCCCATCAATGTTTATAGTCTTCAAAAATAAATTCTTAGAGTGATTGCTTAATCTAGTTTATGTAAACTTGTGCTCAGTTTAATTTAACTGAAGGATAAAAGCAGAATAAGTGTGTCCTTGCATGTGTTCACAGCCTTTCCTGTTGTGAGACAAACTTTAATATTGTTGTGTCTTGTCTTCGACTGAGTTTGAATGACCATGAGGAGCAGAACAGACGTGATGTTTTAGCAGATTAAAGAGAATATGGAGTGTGACCACCGATGAGGTCAGGAAACCTCTCAGTGAAGTGTTTATATTAAATGTTTTTTTTACATTTTGTTTGAAAGTAGAAAAATGAATTAGTTCAGAACAAAACTATTGCACCTTTAATATATACATATAGGTCCATTTCTATTAGGACACTGACACAAAGTTTTTTTTTTACATGTTTACTGAAACACATTCAAGTTCTACTTATATAATGTACATGAACATAAAGTCCAGACATTCAGCTTTAATTTGAGGGTATCCACATTAAAATTGGATGAAGGGTTTAGGAGGTTCAGCTCCTTTAACATGTGCCACCCTGTTTTTAAAGGGACCAAAAGTAATTGGACAGTTGTCTCCAAGGCTATTTCAAGGACAGGTGTGGGCAATCTCTTCATTATGTCATTTTCAATGAAGCAGATAAAAGGCCTGGAGTTGATTTGAGGTGTGGTGCTTGCATTTGGAAGGTTTTGCTGTGAAGTAAACATGTGGTCAAAGGAGCTCTCCATGCAGGTGAAACAAGCCAACCTTAAGCTCTGAAAACAGGGAAAAAAACCATCAGAGAAATTGTTACAATATTAGGAGTGGCAAAATCTACAGTTTGGTACATCCTGAGAAAGAAAGAAAGCACTGGTGAACTCATCAATGCWAARAGACCTGGGAGCCCACGGAAGACAACAGTGGTGGATGATGGCAGAATAATCTCCATGGTGAAGAGAAAMCCCTCCACAACAGCCAACCAAGTGAACAACACTCTCCAGGAGGTAGAAGTATCAATATCCAAATCTACCATGAAGAGAAGACTGCATGAAAGTAAATACAGAGGGTTCACTGCACGCTGCAAGACACTCATAAGCATCAAGAATAAAAAGGCTAGACTGGACTTTGCTAAAAAAAAACGTAAAAAAGCAGCAGAGTTCTGGAAGAACATTCTTTGGACAGATGAAACCAAGATAAACCTCTACCAGAATGATGGAAAGAGAGAAGTCTGGTGAAGGCGTGGTACAGCTCATGATCCAAAGCACCACATCATCTGTAAAACACAGCAGAGCAGTGTGATGGCTTGGGCATGCATGGCTGCCAGTGGCACTGGGTCAGTAGTGTTTATTGATGATGTGACCCAGGAGTTTATTAAAGCAAAGAAGTGGAATATTCTTGAATGACCAGGGGCAGAGGCACTCCTGTCTGTCACACCTCTTAACTTCCAAGCGAGGTAAAAAAAAAAAGTAAAAGAACTCTGAGTGAGGTTAGTGACAGACATGTTAATCTCCAGTTCCTGAAATGATGGACTGGCTGGTGCTGACTGACAGCTTCAGATACCACCCAGCCGTGGGTTTCTTAAATCAAAAAATAACTGGACTCCGTTCAGATTGAAACTTTGATTTTTTTTCCCGACACCCACAAGCTCTGTGCTGCAGACGAGGAAATGACTACAAAGACATTCCTCACTAAAAGCATACAGCCATGTAGATATACGCCCATTGTAAGAGTCACATTATTTTGAAACTTAAAGCCATAAAAGACATAATTGGATTTACTTTGAACTGTTTGGCATATTAAGAGGTAAAGCCTTTCTGTCACTCCTCTCCTGCCACTCTTGAGTGACAGCACATCAGATCAGCTGAGTTTTTTTTCTACACCTCTCTGGCTATGCACATGTAAATGCTCACAAGCATCTGTTTCTCTGTTGATCATTAATTACTTAAAACCCAACAGACCCTTCACCTCCCTTGGTAATACCGTGTACCGTGGTATTTTCTAAAGGTTATACTGCTGTATGAAAATGATCAATACTGCCCAACCGTACTTCAGACAGAAAGACCTACAAATAAACTGCAACTGAAAACCGTTGCAGTGAAGGCTGGCAGAACATTAAAAAGGAGGAAACACAGTGTCTGGTGATGTCCATGTGTTCAAGACTTCAGGCAGTCATTGCCAACAAAGGCTTTTCAACAAAGTACTAGAAATGAACATTTTATTTACAATTATTTAATTTGTTCAATTACCTTTAAAAACAATGCTTTAGTTCCTCACATTTCTATTCTATCATTTAGTTCAACCCACTGAATTAAAGCTGAGAGTCTGAACTTCAGCTGCATCTGAAATGTTTTGTTCAAATTCACTGTGGTAATATACAGAACCAAAATGGGGAGAATGTGTTCTCTGTCCAAATATACTGTATATGGACCTAATTGTATATTCCAGCCTCATACAGTATGCATAAGCCTCTAATGACAAGCTTTTGTCATTATATCATCCTGCTTTATGATGTTTGTTTCTGTTCCACTGGTCATTTATTAACAAAGAAGAAGGTCTAACCTGCTGCTTTTCAGCTCAGTTGCTCACACAGTCAAATTCCTCGGTTTAAAAATCTGTGTTTTGGAACTGGACCATTGTCAAAGTTTGAAATTTTACCCATTTCTTCTCTTTCCTGTTTCTGACCTCAGCACTGATAGTGCTCAAAGAAAGTGCCCCTTCACTGACTTCTGTTCAAGTGTTCAGCCAACATGTTCAAACAGGATGTTACCTCCAGATCAGACCCAAGAACGAGTTCCACATATAAACAGAATCAACAAAGAAATAAATTACTGCACAGTATCAGAGTTTCCACTTTGCATAGCTAACTTTAGACCAAAGTGGAAGTACAGATCTGTTTGTTGATTAATAGAAAGAAAAACAACTTATAAATCTTGTTCCCCAAGCTTCATGGAACAAAATATGTTCGGTCTTGTCCACACAAACATGCATAGTTCTGCTGTTTGCACCTTTCCTCCAACAACCAACCAACTAACCCAACCACGAACAGACTCCACTGCAAAAATTTGTGTTTGTGTAATGTAAATGTTTATGTAAAAGTCAACAAACTGGTTTTCTTGTATTTAGCATTGGGCTGTACCAATCATTATGGGGACAAGCCAAACCTGCTCTCCTAACAATAGAAAAGAGTAGTCTTTATTGTCCTTGCACAAGCTTGTACAATGAAACTGAACATAGACTTATTGGACAACAGCAATATATACAGTGACAACACCAGTAATAAAGTAGCTATGGCACTTGTGTTTGACTGGTGTTCAGAGTCGGGATGGGCCATGGAAAAAAAAATGTTTTTGTTGGTATGCTTTTTAATGCTTCTGTACCTTCTACGGGGCAGCAGGCTGAACAGGTTCTGACCAGGATGGAGGTGGTTTTTGAAGATCTTCTTGAGAGATGGTGGATGCTGGTGATATTGTTGAGGGAGGGGAGAAGACAACCAGTTATTTTCTCAGCAGTCCTGGGGTGTTGAGGTTGTTGAGTGACAGGTTGTTCATGTCACACCACACTGCCAACTACTGCACCTCATCCCCTGTATGTTGACTCGACTCCACCAGTAATAAGTGCCCCCAGAGTAGTGTCATCTGCATATTTGATATTAATGTTGGTGGAATGAGAGGAGGTGCAGTCATGGGTGTAGATGGTGAATGAAAGAGGGCTCAGCACACACCCCTGTCTTTGGGTGAAAACAGGTCTCTGATGTGGGCCACCCTGCTGCCTGAATCGTACTCTAGCCTGGGCCCACTGACATGTCTCTGTTATGCCCCTAACCGCCTCCATCCTAAAGTGCAAGGCCTCATCATCTGAGGACTCAAACAAGTCATACATGGAAGTTTGGTGGGAGGCACTGGTGCCATGGTCTTGTACTGGGTTTTTCCTGAGAATAACTACTCATTTAAACATGTACTAATGCTATCCCTAATGCACATACTGTATCTGTACAAAGTATATCACAAATTACCATTCATTGTGAAAAGTATACAGCTTCTAATAATCATGCTTGACTGGTGATCTGATCTGATTAAGCTGAAAATTGTCAGTTTTCATCAACTCCCTACCAATCAGTAAATAGTTAACAGTTACACATTGTCTTTTTAACATTTCAGAGTTCTGCACAATGTGCACATCTCATTTATATCTCCACAAACAGTGACACTTCACAAGGATTGAACTCTTGATCAGAACAGAACACTTACTGCTAATTCATCTCCAACTGATTTATTCCTCCTATTGTTGTATTTCAACAAGACTTTTACATCTTTAGTTTTGTGTTAGCAGACATAAAATCAGCTTACTAATGGAGAAACTGTAAAATTAATTGATTTTGATTTCATTATGAACCATATTGCCATGGATTAATAGATTGGAATTGGACTTGATCGATTGAACTTGTTTCCTTTTTTTGTCCTCTGAAGACGTTTGTTGTAAAATGGCTCTAAATAAATGAAAAGCAATTAAATACAGAGTAACACTGCATTCATTATGCACGTTCATCTGTATACAGTGTGTTTTTGTGCAGCCCATTTCTTCTAAAAAGAGGCCATGGCACAAAAGCAGCTCTTGTTAGAGAGCGAGCAGCGCTGCCTCATGGCTTCAAGCGTGAGCGCACAGAGCTGTGAAGCCCCAAGGCCTTGTTGACACCTCTCAAGGTTTCAGCGCGCTTTGAGTGGTGTTAAGCCCTGGCTGATTAAAGAACCATCTAACTAGGAATTACAGCAATGAATCACACTGCCAGGCGGAAACACTCGCAGCACAGGAGTTCAGCTACAGTCTCTTATTTTTGCTATATTTTTTCTGCCAGTGGAAAACAAGCAGCCTCAGTCACTGGAGATTCTATTCGCCCTACAGCTGACAGGACTTTAATTGATGCCCTGCACCTTCAGCACACAGATTGGTTTGCCTTCTTTATTGTTAGCATTTACAACCTCCATATTGAGTTTGGTTTTGCCAAAGACACCAGCCAATCATTTTCCATCTCAGTTGTCCTGCTTCCGTTCTAGTTGTAACTGCGAGCGACAGTGAATAAACACCGTTGAAGAGGGAATGTCATGGTGCCAAAGTGTTGTATCGCCTCATTATCCCATCTGCACCAGCAAGCAAAAAGCTGTCTCTCAAAATGAATGGGCCTCAAAAAGAATGAATGCATGGAAGGAGAAGGAATGGGTGGGCAACAGATCAAAGACTAATGTAAGAGCAGCTCAGCTTGACTTAAAGCAGACTTGAAGATGATGTTAAAATAAGCTTTTTATTTTAATAGACAACAAAAGTGTTGCTCAGAGAAAAACGTTCAATCAAAGACTGAGACAGAGAATAAACAAGAAATTGTGGAAAAACGAAAGCATATGTTTCTGCCATTGAATCCACAGTAAGAAAGACAAAACCTCTTTGTTGCAAGGAAATAACRACTCTCTATTCCTCTTCTGCTTTTGAAGTCCCAACCAGAATTTGTTCTCCTCTTCCTCAACTCTGATTAATAACACGTCAAATGTCCAGCTGTTGGGTTTATGAAGCTGCACAGTAATTGCAGAGTATTGCAAAGGGCCCATCTCTGTCAGAGGGGATGAATACTGTCGGACATGCGTTTTTCAAACAGGTGGTTAATATTGAAATCTAATTTTCCTGTGCTCTTGTGTTTTTTTTTTTCGATCAACAATCGACCCCGCTGCTCTTTCTCTTCCTTGTCTTCCATGGAGGCTGTCATGCAGCTAGTGTGAATGAGGCAGATGTTGATGGCGGTGGAGATGGTGAGTGTTTTTTTATAAAATGAATATGTAATGCAGTGTAGAAAAAGTACATCTTCAACACAAAAACATTTTTTCCCAACAGTCTTCTCCTTCCCTGCTTTGCCTAACGAGGAGAATTTAATTGGTGTCAGTAAACCTCTTCCTAAGCAGCTATGGGAGGCCAAAAAGGTGAGAATCAGATTAATTTCTGACCTTTTTCTTTCATTTGTGACAAAAAAAAAAGAACCCCGTGCAAAACACATTATTGTTATTAAAACTTGGTGCTCATAGCACTCTCGTACCAGATTGTATCACTGCTGTATGAACTAAAGAAATGGCAAAATATTAAGGGCACAAATTTACTTGTTGACAGTGTAGCTTTTAAAGTGTCTGTGAYATGTTTGTCCTTCGAATACCAAAAGTCAAAGAAAGCATCTTTATACTTAATAAAATTGGCATAATACACATGATTTTACTCATTTGTCACATAACTGGCCTATTTTCTTTTAAATCTGGTTAAGCCATAGTGAAACAGGAAGTAACATCAAAGTGGAACGCTTAAAGAAAAAAAAACTCCCTGGTCTTTGTTTATTAAAACAATATTTATTTAAACTTTAACTCTTCTTCGTCTCTGTTTGATAGTGACTCAAAATAATCTAAAGGAACATCAGATTCGTCTCTACAGTCTGTGTTGTTAGCTTTTGTAACAATGCTCTGTTTACATGCTGACATTCCCCTTTGACATCACTTCCTGTTTCTTCACATGCCAATATCTCAACAACTGTTCATCTCAGCGACATGAAATTTGTTTCGCAATATGTTGTTGTTATCTTTCCAAAAATGCATTCATGATTATTAGAAAAATTTGATGTCACAGGCACTTAAAGTTAGCACCGCAGTGCAACAGCTGGTCCCTAATGTAAACCATAGGCTCACGGCTGCAGGCAGACACCCATTTGAAAACAAAGTGGAAAATAGAAAAAAACAAACCAAGAAGGACGATGTTTGGTTCTGTAGTGCACTGGTGTTGTGAACAAAATTTAAAAATAAACTAAACAAGTAGCGGTAGGCGGAGTAAGAAGGAAATTCTCAGTGAGAGGCGGACAAGATGCCCCCTAATGGGGCACTGATTTCAGGGCATCTTATTTACATGACTAAATTATAATCAATATGATTATTACTTTTGATTTGATAGATTGTTCTAAATTAATATATACTTCATGATGGTTCTGCATCAGCTTAGAAATACACACATTTTAGGCTCTTGACTGCTTTGATCATTTTTTGTTCCTGCAGATACAAAAGTGTTTTATTTCCATCTATTTTAAGAACCAGAATATTTAGTTAAATCAGAAAGTGAGTACAAGCCACGACAACTTAAATTCCTGCTGTGACTTTTCAAAAATGTCACCATACTTGCTGAACCAGTCTTTCCTGTGTGGCCTTAAAAAGAGAGACTGAACAAGATTCTGCCATGCAGGATAGTATTAAAAAGATTTTGGGTGAGGCTTCCCCCCAGGTTTGAAGAATCTCTTGTGTGGTTCAGATGCTCCTTGAGGTGTTCCCTCCTCTGTCAGATGATGTTACCAGTTTAGTTCAGCAGATGTTCCCCACCTGAAAAATAAGTCTAAGCCAAGATTTTAACAGATGTGAATCTGAATCATCCAATGATTTGCTAAAACTTTAAGTATAATTGAAACTTTTCACTCCAGAACTATTTAGTAAAATAGATTTTGAACTTGAAAAAAAAAATCGGTTTTTATTTAACTGTCTTGAGCAGTAGTGCTAATGAGGGGAATGAAATGTCATGTTAAGAAAACATACTTCATTCTTAGCCAGAAAAGAAATTGTTTATAGCAGCAAGGGTTTTTCCAAAAAAAAAWWTTTGTTCAGRTCTGTTTGCTCATGTTTCATGTGCTGGATACTTTTTTAGGTGAAATCAAAGCGCAAAGTTTTTATTATTTGATTGTGGAATGTTCCTATAAGTGATTGAAAAAGGCTTGTATGTACTGGAATATGTATCATTTCCATGTTCCTAAGTGAATTATTATTATGTCTGGTTCAGGTTCAGTCTTTGGCATCAAGACCTAAATCATGTGAAGTGCCTGGAATCAAGTAAGTGCTTATTGTCATGTTTAAACAACATTCTTCCACTACATTACAGTATATTGACTATACAGGTGCTGGTCATAAAATTAGAATATCTTGAACAAGTTTATTTTATTTCAGTAATTTCATTCAAAAAGTGAAATGTGTGTATTATATTCATTCATTACACACAGACTGATATATTTCAAATGTTTATTTTTTTATTTTGATGAATATAACTGACAACTAATGAAAACCCCCAAATTCAGTATCTCAGAAAATTATAATATTGTAAAAGGTTCAATATTGCAGACATTTGGTGCCATAATCTAATCAGCTAATTTACTCAAAACACCTGCAAAGGCCTTTAAATGGTCTTTCAGTCTAGTTCTATAGGCTACACAATCATGGGGAAGACTGCTGACTTGACAGTTGTCCAAAAGACGACCATTGACACCTTGAATAAGGAGGGCAAGACACAAAAGGTCATCGCTAAAGAGGCTGGCTGTTCACAGAGCTCTGTGTTCAAACGCATTCATAGACAGGCGAAGGGAAGGAAAAGATGTGGTAGAAAAAAGTGCACAATAAGAATAACCTCACCCTGGAGAGAATTATGAAACAAAACTCATTCAAAAAAGTGGAGAGATTCACAACGAGTGGACTGCAGCTGGAGTCATATTAATATGACAATTAATCCCCTGGAGTCCCTTGACCCCTGCATGTTCTAGTCACATGACCCATTTAAATTACTCTAGCAGGAAAGATTTGCTCTCCATAAAAATTTGTTCCAAACTGTGTCAAAAGTACAAACTTCAAGCTATACATCAATTTTTAAATTGTATTGATATACTAAGTAAAACCAGAGTTATGATAAATAAATTACAGAACTTTTTTAAAAATGTTTGTTATATTTAATGTGGAGAGGAGCATCGAGCAGACTGAGAGGGGAAATCTCCAGTCTGCCTGGTGACATTAATCATATTAATCATCAAGTGCCAAAAAATAATCGATTAAAGTTTTTCTGAAGATTAATTGCACAGGATACAATTTTGCCCATCCCTATTGGCCAGCAAACTCTCCTGACCTTAACCTATAGGAAGATGTGATACACCAGACCCAACAACTCAGAAGATTTTCTAAAGATCCTTCAAGGGTTTTTATAAAGATTTTCATTTAAGTTGGTTAGCATTTGTTCATTGTTTTGTGTGTTTTGCCAGTTTGTCTTAGGACTGTTGAGTCCCAGTTAATTTCAGAATGTAATATGTTGAAAGAAAAAATAATAGTAATAAATAATGAGGAGAATGAAAATGATGATTTATTTAAAATGACAGCGACAAGATATTTATGTAAACTGCTTTCTAGTTCCTTTGCAAATCTGTCTTTGACCAAATACATTTTCCGTCTGTGCTGTAGTATTTTCCCGTCTCCGGAGCAGAATCCTGGTTTGTCCCACTACCAGGGCTCATTAAGTACCGGGGGCTCCCTGCCGGATCTCAGCAACCTGCAATTCCCGTCTCCACTGTCCACTCCGCTGGACCCTGAGGACAGCGGAGGGTACCCCAACCTGAGTGGGGGCAGCAGCACCGGAAACCTGCCTGCTGCTATGATGCACCTTGGCATCAGCAACTCACAGGGTGAGTGGAGCACAGCTTCTAATTGATTTAACCCAGGTTTGTCATCGGGTTTCTACAGTTTTTATTAAGTCTATGAAGGGAAATGGGGCTAGAAGTTAACTTTTGATGGGTAGCTGTTTTGGAGCATTATGTAACTGATGGCAGTGGTTGTAGGTGTGTGTGTGTGTGTGTGTTCACACAGAGGGCCCCATCTGTCTGTGTTTTCTCCACATCTAGGTCCTGTGACCCAGCTACCGTCTCCACTGCCCTCAGCTAGGATAAGCAGCACTCTTAAGAGGAAGAGATGGATGGACAGATAGCTGTGTTCTCTTTTCTTCTCGTGTTGGCCGATTTGTGACATTAATAATGCTCNGGGGGGGGGGGGTTACTAACAGGACTAAAGCAGCTTCAGGCATGATGCATTTCAGAACACTGGCATTTCTACAATGTTTAGTGTCAATTTAATTGTTAATGCARAGTGGTTTTATTGATTGGTCAAAAATATACTCTAACAAATTTGATCAACAAAAGGACTAAAATGGGCATAAAGTAAAAGTATGTTTGACTGTAAAGTAAAAATGCAGCATTTTCAGATTTTTACTCAAAGGAGCCAAATTCAGCCTTAATGACTTGATGACTACTTCAGGCTTCTGGTAAAAAAAAAAAAAAAACACAACTGAACTGCTTTATTTTACCCACAGCTGTGGACCAGTCGGTTGCATGTTTTCTGCTCTGGTGAAAGACCAAAAAGAGATGTGGTTTCTTGTGTTTTTTAGTTTTAACAGATTTATTCTATACTAGTCAATGTTTATTTATTGCATTAAATGGCTTTTTGACTTTTAAAACTGGAAACTATTGATGTTAGGTAGATGTAAGGAGTCAAATCAAACTGTATGGACAAATTAAATCATAGTATTCAGTATTAAAATGCATCGACATGTATAGAATCAACTTACAATTGTCTGATTTTAAAAATTCTCTTGGATATCAACCAAAACATCTGCAAAGATCAAAAACAAACCCAGTTGCTTACCAGTCATTTATTTGGGATTGCCTTGTCCTGCAGGATGGAGAGTTTACAGCAACATGTCTTATGAGAGGCAGATAAACCTGTCTGTCTTTACTAACTTGAATATTAAGTTGAACTAATGGAGAAACAAAGGAATGTGATTGTGCTCATGTAAAGCRAGGGGACTTCCTCCCTCCAGAATGTTTTATGAGAAGGGTCAAACAAAATTCATCTGGCCTCTTAAAGTCAGAGATGGATCCAGAATGTCTCGAAATGTGAGATGTAAAAATATTTTCAGTAGTTCTCTTTGCCATCATAAACAACAGTTTTCGATTAAGAAACCACTCGGAAACACAAACTGCTACTTCTGTTTTTCTTTGTAGATGATGTCCTGTTGGTCATTTCCRTTCTGATCCTTTGGCTTTTTCTGACACATTCTCTTTGGGGAGTTTGTGAATGTTGCTGAGTCAGATTTAGTTTTATTTGTGTAGCTCTACTGTTAAACACGCTGCTTAATTTCACCAACACATACAACTGTTCTGCTGCTCCAAAACAAAAAAAAGGCAGCTGGATTATGTTCTGTATTTGAAGACACTTGGTTTCCCATCTCAAAAAGAGGAGGAGAGATTTGAGTTCCAAGCTTTAAACTGCTTGTTTGCTGGAAAAGAATCCCAATCCACTGTTGGTTTTCTCTGTTGAGTTGTGGATGTCGGGAGCTCTGTTCCATGTTTGTCATACATTATTAATGACAGGCTGAAGGATCTTTCTGTTTCTGACTGTCTCACTCTGAGCTCTGCTGGCTGATCTGATCACACCCACTGCTGCCCCCTTCACTCGGCCTTCTTTGGATGTGTTGTTGGGCTCAAATGTCTGACACAGTTCAGATTGGCTGATCACCAAACCCAGCAAGGAATTTTGACCCTTTTTTGGCTCGTAACAATCAGCTCTTTTCTTTCCTCTCATTTCCTTCTTTCCCCCACTCCCCATCCTTCTCACCCGCACAATAAAGACTAGTGTTTAATGTCAGAGGCTGGAGAGTGGTGTTCACCCATACAGCAAGCACATGTTCTCCTTGTTTCCTTTGATTGACTGGTCGGTCCTTGTGTTGTGTTCACTGTCTCGGCAGGTTTGTCCTCCTCTTTGAGCAACCCCTCCATCCAGGCTTCCCTCAACAACTGCCAGCTGCAGTCGTCCCTCAGCAATCCGTCCATCAGCTCGTCCCTGCGTCTGACCAGCAGCTCGCCCCGACGACGCCCAGCTCCCATCAGCCCCCTCACTCTGTCTCCAGGAGCGGAGCAGCGCAGGGGGCTGGCCAAGCAGCTGTCCCCCACTATGTCCCCCTCGCTGTCCCCTATCACACAGGTATAGTCCATCTATACACTAGATTACTTTTCTGGTTTTTTTTTTTATTACTCAGGCATGGCTCTACACTAACCTTTTGCACTGATTGCACTGGTGCGCCTAATCTTTTTTTTTTCTAAAGTGCACCCACATTTTCAACTGTGTCACATTTAACATCCCAGTTTTACAGGTTTACTATTAAATGTTAAATCTCTGTCCACTGAGATAGTAATGGCTTGCAAATGATTAGTTAACAAGCTAGGAAACATAATGTTATTTTCACCATCCATGTCACATCCACTCTGCTTGTCTAAAACTGCACCAATAAATTGTCCGGCTGATTTATCGGCACTGATTTCCTTAAATTTGGGAGGTCGGTGTCCATAGATATTGCTGAAAAAGATCAGCTTCTCATCTATCTTCACAAAGGTCTGAAAATCAGACACTGTTCCCTTTTGCTCTGCTGTGAGTACTACCTAATGGCCATTTAAAACTAGTTTGTATTATGACCTTATAATATCTGACAGTGTCAGTTATTTGAAAAATCTGTATCGGCCAAAATCGGAATCGGCTGTCAGACTTTTTAAAAATCAGTGATTGGCCAGACAACTGTAACTGGTGCACCCCTGCTAACTAGCCTTGCTTACYCACCTGATTAGCTGCAGCACTTAATATAGACACTAGGGTTGGGCCAAATTGGCAAAAAAATTAATCACGATTAATTGTGGTATTTAGCCGATAACGATTAATTTGGCGATTAATCCCCTGGAGTCCCTGAACACCCTTACGTCCTGGTCTCATGACCAATTTAGTGGGAAAGATTTGCTCTTCATAAAAATCTGTTCSAAATTGTCTAAATTACAGACTTCGGGCTATACATCAAATTKTAAATTGTGTTGAWAGATAAATCTATTTCAGAATTTATTTTTTTATGTTCGTCATATTTGAAGCGGAGAGGATCGTGACCAGTCCGAACGGGGAAATTACCAGTCAATCTGCCTGGTGGCATTAATCGTATTAATCGTCAAGTGCCAAAAAACTAGTCGATTAATGTTTTTCTGATGATTAATTGCACACGATACGATTATGCCCAACCCTAGTAGACACGTACAGGAATGGCTAGATCACGGCCAATCAAAGGGTGATGCCTACCCTTCAGCGTAGGGCAGGGCTATTCAACTAAATTCAGGGTTCCCACAGGTCCTTGAAATCCTTGAAAGTTTGTGAATTTGAAAAAAATTCAAGGCCCTGGAAAGTTTGTGAAAACAGCTAAAAATTACACTTGTCTTTGAAAGTCCTTGAATGTTTTTGGGGGGATTGAAGTTCTCTATTCACACGACTTGATTTTCATCATCTGTAAAAAAAAAATAAATCAGTGATAATAAAAAAAAATTGTTTGTTGTGGTGGATAACTCAAGATTACGGTAAGCTGACGTGGCTTTCAACAAATAACGTGAGCCATAGTCATAGTTTTATCCAATCAGAGCAGAGTAGGGTGGGTCTTTCTTTCTGAGCCCAGGTGAGAGCACCACTGCTCCTCCTGTCCTCACCGAGGGTCTGGACAGGTTCACATCCCCTTCTCCCAAACTGAGCTGCTGAACCTCCCAGGACATAATTACACGTCCGTGTGTTGTGGATATTGATTCTGACTCAACAGCTTCTATGTTGTTCAGTTTTTCATTGAATATACATGATATTAAGCCTGTTTATTGGTAACACTCTGTGGTAGCAGTAGGTTGCCGTCGCGCGTGGTTCTTGAATTTGAGGAAATTGGTACTGGAAAGTCCTTGAAAGGTCCTTGAATTTGATGTTGACCAAGGTGTAGGAACCCTGTAAACTGCTCCAGAGTCCATAATTACTGCCGGCTCAGGAGCCGAACACCTAGCAGTTAAACTTTCATTATATAAATAAACCAAGTATTACAATTATCTGTTACATTTTGAATTAGTTTATTTTGCTGCATTTAATCATGAATACATATAATACATACGTATATACTTACATATAAAACCCAATGTAGTAAAAGCAGCAATATTAAAACGATCAAAAACAAAAATAACTCATTATGCCTCCTATTTAAAACAGTTATTATTTTCACATCTCTGGCTTGCCAAAAATTTAAACCAATTTTATTTTTACTATATATGTTTTACCAACTTTTAGCCAAGTTTGTGACATTTCTGTAGATACCACACATGTCCATGTCTAACTAAAAGAACTTTTAGTAATTAAAGTAGAAAACTATGAGTTTGGGCTTAATAGATGAATGAATCAATTGGCAGGCCAGACTTTGATCTACATACAGAGAAGGAAATAAACACATGGAGGAGCAGGAGCGTGGATACAGTGTCAGGTTATTCTTAAACTTAAAACTCTAAAAAGACACATTTGAACGTACTTCGATCTGAGCGTCGTTGCTCTCAGCTGCAGCTTGAGTGACAGAGAACTGAGTCAGAGCAGCCAASTTCTTTTTCCACAMCTTTTTTGTTTCTGCGCTGATGAATATACTCTGAAAACACATTTGAGCACAGTAAGAGAGCGTCTCCACCCGTGACTTAACTACCAGAGAGTGTAGCAACGTGGTACAGGCTGCTCGCCCATTTAGCAGAACTGTTCTGAGACACAACAGGCTGTTTTAGGAGCCTCAGAGCAGGACTGTTTAAAACTAAATTCCAGAAGAAACAAGAGACACCATCCTTGCATTTTTGTATGAACACTAAAGCAAATGACGTTCTYTTCTGTAAAACAAACATAAAGATTTATAATAGGTGCATTCATTGTCAAAGGCATTGAAAAAGCTTTAAAATAGCACTTAATAAATTTAAAAAGTTTATACGTTCACTATCAAAAATGGCATGAAATGGGCATTAAAAAGCATTAAATTTGGTTGGCTGATTTCTGCAGAAATACTAAAGCAAAATCGAAATGTTGATTTACAACAGTGTAACCTGTGACCTCAGTTAAACTCTGATCAATGTAAATGTCACAGTGGTGTACATCTTACTCTGTTCATTTGATGGTTAGTGTTGTGAACCAGAAGAAACAAACTTTTAGTTCTTAAACTTGTGAGTCTGTAGTGATTTCTGTTTCCTTCTGATCCATGTAGGGAGTTGCGTTGGACACCAGCAACATGCCAAGGGAACCGCCCCCACCCTATCCTCTTTACCAGCAATCCCAGCATGCAGTGGATCAGAGCCGACAGCGGCAGCTGCCGGCAGCACCACAGCAGCCCGTCTCACCGCTTCAGAACATCCCCTTGGACTTCAACGCTGGACAAGTGCGTGTTTTTAATTTATATTTGTGTTTATTTATGTTGCTTAAGTTTTGTTTTTGTTATTTATGGTTTCGATTCATGTTTGTTTGTTGTTTGTTCATACATTGTGTATTTACCTGCTCTGGGGACTGTAGATGGAAATTAGCCTGTGGCTAAATCTGGTGCAGATATGTTTTGTCTCTTGAGATTATTGTTGAGGACATTGTACATTAAAATGGGTACATTGTCCTAATTTTATAAATAAACACAAACTTCTGCCAAGAACATCCTCAACAAGGGACCCTCTCTGTAAGATGTTACATGTCAGTGTTTGTGCAGTTGTTGCTTTTTTATGTTTTTAGTTTTGCAGGACATAAATCATGCTTGCAGACTTAGTATTTTAACTCATGTGAGACGTATGTGTAGTTTTTCTTAAATATGTCAGAATATGATTTTGAAATAAGGTTTTTAAAACCTATGAAGATTTATGGCTCAACTAATTCTTTCAATCCTGTTACACCCCGTAGGCTGAGTTTAGAGTTTCTCTTTCTGATTAGCTCCCTCAGAAGTTTTGCTTTTAGTTTTATGTTGATATGGCACATAGTGTGGCTTGTTGCTTTTGTGAAGAAAAAAACAACTTTCCAGCTACTTAGACCAGACTATTTAGCAAATATATATATATATATATATTAGGGGTGCAACGATACAGGAAATTCACGGTTCGGTTCGATACTTTAGTCTCACGGTTCGATATATATATATATATTAACATACCAAATCTTAAATAATCTCATTATACAGGAAAACTAAACAGATGAAATCTGAGCAACTTTTATTCCCTGCACTTCTTATCTACATTTAATCACATATAGAAATTAAAATAGAACCGTCAAAGTGAAGGACAGGTTGATGGATGAGATCAGGCAGGTCTTCATGTTGATCAAATTGTTTGCAGATGACACTGATGTTTACGGAGAGTAGGGAACAGGTGAAGCTTGGAGATGTGGAGAGTCTCTCAAAAGAAGAGGTTATGAAAGTCAGTGGAAACGARACAATCTGTGTGAAGTGGAGGCGGGCATCTATTGCAATGACAATATAACTTGTGATAAATCAACAAATACTTAAAAATATTGGGTTGATGTCTCTAAAAAGAGCAACTAGACACAATTGATGTGTTAGCTGTAAAACAGACTACATTCAATACAGTTTGACTTTAAAACATTGCACTCATAAAACATTTTCYGATGCTCTAACTACTGAAAAACACTCATTACTATCATTTTTCTTAACAAATGATTAAACATCTTAAATTAAGTCAAATAATTTCAAATAACAGTTAACAAACCTAAAGCCAACTGTAAATCCTCTCAGTGCAGTTGTCCAACATTTTCTCCACTCACCAAGTGGTCATGATTTGATGTAGTATCTCAGGTTCATTTATCAGACTGATGCTGACAAAATGCATGGATGCAAAGATATGAGCCAACCGTTTGTTGTAGTTTACCCAGTTTTTTTGCGATATGCTWATTGCACAGGCAGTTGTCGCAGTGATGATAAAACTGTGAYATATTGTGGAGCCCTGGTAATGAAAATGGATGAATTTAAGTACCTGGGTTCAACCTTCTAAACCAGCGGATGGAACTCTTGAGAGGAGAAGGACAGTGCAGGTAGGGTGAAGTTGACCATGTTAAAAAGGTCTTAAAAAACTTTTAATTTGACTTGCTCAAGTCTAAAGATACTCTGAATTAGTTGGCAAATGGCAACTATGTCCAAAATCAGGTGTTTGTGACGTTTCCAGTGTTGTTGCAGCTCTGTCACTTGAATTTTGAGCATGTTCCAAAAATTACTTTGACAAATCTTATCCATAAAACTAGTCAGGGATTTGTCCTGGGCATTTCAAATCCTTCTYGGTTAAAGGTTTTGTAAAGTCTAGAACAATAGAGTTGTATTTTGACAGGTGCACGTGAACTCTCCTTATAACAGAATACATYCGAGGCCACTGCTCTGAATGTTTAGGTCTAACTACGCAGATTAGTACGACTTTATTTCTGGTACATATCTGCCTGCCTTCCTTTCACTGTGCACTCTGTATGGAAATAAGTATATGGACACTGCTGCGAAGGTGGATGCAAAGCAGGTCAAGGTGGGTATGATGTGAGCAGAAGTGGACAATCAAATAATGTGCATGGCCATGAGTACAGTTATGTAAACCATATACACAAAATTAGGCCAAGATTTTCAGAAGGTTGATTCAAAACAACCTGACGGCTCAACAACTTGTGCTTCTCTCTTGTATTTATATTGATTCATTATTTTTTTGTTTCAGTTTCCTAAAAATAAAACAAAACCATTTAATAATGTGAGATTGATGATTTTGGCCATGTCCCTCAGCCCAGCCTGTCCAGTGGACTGAAGTGTCTCAGTCCAGGTCCTGGAGACCCCGTGCTCCAACACACGTCATTCCAATGAATGGACCTTTATCAGGCTTCTGTTTTAGCTTGATTAGAGAGTTGACCCATTCATTGAAATCATGTGAAGCAGGAACACCTCCAAAACATGCTGGGCAGGGGGGCCCAAGATACAGACTGGAAAACCCTGGCTTTAAGAGTAAAACAGTTGTTTTTTTGTTTGTTTGTTTGTTTGTTTGTTTGTTTGTTTGTTTTATTGGAATTAAAGCCTGTGCTATTGTACCTCTGTGAATCTTTTTATCTTATCTCAGTTCTTCACAAAATAAACAGTCGTATTTTCCTTTTCCATGACAGCAGAACAGCATGGCATCATTCTTCAGTGACCCGTTTGTAGAACAGCAGTTCTCAAATCGCCACAATAAGACTCTACAGTATCAGGTAAGGATTTATTAAACAGGCACAAACAGAAATGTGTTTCTTCTTTCATCTGTGAACTTTCAGCTCCGTCAACACAACTGTCATTTCAGAAAACAGAAGTCTGGACAGAATTAGGTGCAATAATTTAAATGTTTTTAAAGATAAATCATAAAAGAATAGAGCAGTTTCTATCAGGTTTGATTTTCACTCATTTGTTCTGAGTAAAACAATGTAAAAAGAAAGCTCACACCAAGCGGACCACCATGCTGACAGGGGTGTCACTTCAGCTCGCTGACTTTTTGTTTTCTCTCTCATTTGCCTTTTTTCCTTTCCGTCTGCGGCCCAGTTGGACCAGTTCAGTGTGTTGGAAAACGCACTGAGCTCCTCAGCGGGAGGGTCCTGCTACGATCCTTCATCCTCTTCCTCCTCGCTCTACCACTCCCAGGCGGCTCTGTCGGGGCTGGGGGGCAGCCACGGCAGCCTGCAAGACCCAATGCACATGAGGTCCAACATGCTGTACTCACACTGCAGTGGGGGGCTGCCCAACATCATCCTGACAGGTGAGTCTGAAGGGCCAGTGCATTTTCTGCCTTCCATTATAGACAAGTTCTACTTTATTATTA